CATCTATCTAGGCATTTTCATCACAGTGTCTGTCCTCATCTCTTCAATGTCTGCATCCGTTCGCAACCGTTTCGTAGACGGAATTCTGAATAAACCCGTTTCATACATACAGTTGGTTAAAATTTCGCCGCTGTTGCCCCTCAAAGCTGCACTTGTGAGTGATTATCTGCGAAAGGGAGTCGGATGGCGCGAGTTGCCCGCTTGAAACGCAAGCGTGTTCTGCAGCTCAATAATGCAGACGCGACGCGCAGCGGCCCCGCGCGAGATGCAGGACGGGCGAGGCGGGCGGGGCGGGGCGGTTGTGGGCGAGGCGTGGCGCGGTAGGGGGCGGGGCGGGGCGGGGGCGCCCGGGCGGGCGGGATGCGCTCAAAGCGCCGCCGGCGGCGGCGCGTTATTAATTAGCCTTCAGTCCGCGGCGCGCGCGCCGCTCGGCCGCGTCGCGGTCGGGCCCGCCGGGCGGCGGCGCGAGCTGAGTGGCGAGTTACGGCTGAGCAACTTCTGCCCGACTCCCGCGCGCCGCCGCCCACGCCTGTCTTCCCGACCACCGCGGTGCCCTCTCTAGCCACTCACCGTCGCGCCCCGCCCCGCCACGGCCCCGGCGCCGACAGGCTCCTCATCCGGCTCTCTGCGCACAACACGCACTTGCCCTCTATCTGACCCCGCGCTCCACCTCGCCCGGCAATCGGCTGTAGTACTATCTCGACGTAGAGCGCTTTCAAGCCTCTGCATCTCTCCCACCACCATCCACACTCCCGGCCCCTCTCGAGCCCCGCTTCTTTGTCTGCCCGTCTCCTACGTTCTTCTACAGCACGTTGCGCCCCCGTAACCATTCCGTTCAGGATTGTTTCACCCTTACCCCCGGTCTGCTTTGCCCACCCCTGACCTTCCTTTCTCCCCGTAACTTCCATCTTGTCCGCCACAGGGTCCATTGTTCCAACGCGTTTGTCCGCCCGCTCCTCCGTGCCGTGGCTCTCGTCTTCTGCCGACTCGGCCATCCTCATCGGGGCACCATGTCACTTGCATTTTCGGCGCCGCCGCCGCCGCGCCGTCGTGTGTTTTGTAGTGATTGTCGTCCAAATCCCCTTGCTACTCTCGAGGCACACCTGGGGAACTAAATCGTAGCCGCCACGGCCACCGCCTCCGCCTACACATTTCCGCGGCCGCTATCACGTCCACGCCACGGCCAACCGCCACCCACGGCCACGGCCACCCGCCACCGCCACCACGCCACGGCCACGCGCCACGGCACACGCCACCGCCACGGCACGCCACGGCCACGGGCCAACGGCCCGCCCCGCTAACACTCGCCCCGCCTACTCGTCACCCGCCACCGCCACCGCACACGCCACCGCACGCCACCGCACGCGCCACGATCGCGCACGCACCGGCCCGCACGACGGCCACCGCCACGGCACGCGCCACCGCCACGCCGCACCACCGACCCACGCCTGCACCGCCACCGCCACCAGCCACGGCCACCGCCACCCGCCACCGCACCGCCACCGCCACCGCCACCGCCACCCGCCACCCGCCAGCCCGCCACCGCCACGGCCAACCGGCCACCGCCACGCCACTGCCACGCCACCCGCCGTCGCTAAACCGCCACGCCCACCGCCACGGCCACCGCTTAACGAGGCCACCCCACGGCCACCGCTACGGCACCCCCACGGCCACGGCCCACGGCCCGCACCGCCACGCCACCGCCACCGCGCACCGCCACCGGCCGTCGCCACCACCGCCCATGCCGTCAGCAGCCACCACCGCCGCCGGCCGCCACCACCGCCACTGCCACCGTCCCACCGCACCACCAACCGCCGTCGCCACACCACGCCCCGCCGTCACAGCCGCCAACCGCCGCCGCCGCCACGCAGCGCACTGCAACGTCCCCATCGCACCACCACCGCCACCGCAGCAGCAGGAGCAAAAGTGGGAGCCGCCGCCGCTGCCGGTTCAATTCTCAACCAGAGCCACTTGCTCCCTTCCATGCGTTAGCCGGCAGGATATTTACGACCCTCTCGCTGCAGCAGACCGATAGTTCGCAGTCGGTTCTCCTCCCGGAGGATAACGATAAGGACTAGGAAGAGAGAAGCGGAACTGCGAATATTAATTTCCAGGCACACTTCGCCCTTTATGTGTGAGACCAGTTACTCCCATTTTAAGAGTATAAAGACTTTTTACCCTGAACTTCAATAATTTTGTAGTTCCTTCTATTTCATAACCTTATAGCAAACATGATTTTTTCTAATTATTTTCTCATTATTTTACCGTATTATTTTTAATATTTCATGTTTCAATTTATTATAGCCAACTTCAAGTAACATTTTCGTAATGTATTGCGGTAAACGTCGTATTGCTCAAAATATTATGAGTTCCTCAGTTTCATTCCTACAGAAGATTTCCTTGGCTGCATACCAGAGAATATTAAATATGTTTTAGAAGCAATCAGAAAGTTTCAATCAAAATAGTATCTGTTTCATGCCACTCACGTTGCACAATATTTACAACAAAGTTAACGTTGAAGTTGTTTTTTGTAACATCCAGAGTGCCTTCAATCACTCAAAATTACGCGAAAACATATTCAAATTCATATTTTTAAAATATTGCACATGACCTCATTTAAAAATCTAATTTTGATGGTCAAAAATATTTTGAAAGAGACATTTGTATCTTCAATATTATAATTGAAGGCAATATTATAATTGAAGGCCTTTTTTATTTTTGTAATTTTTGAAAATTTAGAACATAAAATGAAAATCGGACTTGCTTCACTTTTAAAGGCATACTTTGCTCTATCCTATAAAAATATCCAAGAATTTAGAGTCGTTTTCTGAACAAAATAATTGAAAATGACCTTAATGTTTCATATAAAGTACTTTAAAAATTAAGAATGTGTTTCAAAATCAGAGGGTCAAGCACAGGAGAAATATCGTTTGGTTACATTTAGTTAATCCTACTTAGGGTTGAGCAGCAAGCGTTGTTCTCGAACGGACGAATAAACGGACCGGCGAATGGACGGACGGACGAATGGACGGACGAACGAATGGACGGGCGGACAGGTTCACTGACAGACGTTTTGCTGTAAACCAATTTTTCGGTATCAAGGACCAAAAACCGTCGTTTTTACGACACAACTTGTTATAGGAAGTAATTTACTACAAATATAATCAAGAATTATCGACGCATTACGCAACTTACTCCATACTACACACGTAGTACGAGAGAAAGTAAAACGTATTATCCAGAGAAATTTGAAAAAACCTTATTTAGTACAAGATGTTTCATTTTAATGTCTACCCAAACTCAATTACAAAAACATTTTTTTCTATCTAAATTTCTGCACCAGGCCCACACGAAAGGAAACTATCTCGACCGCAATCCGAAACATCCCTCCACACGTGAGGAGAAACCCGCGGCTGCAAACAGCCTCGGAAGCCGCCCGGTGCAAAAGAGGAGGCATAACGCATTTTGCAGCGAACGAGGTTTGCATGCGGGGGCGGCGCCCCGCCTGCGGCCGACGACCGCCCGCCGCGCCGCCCGAGGAACTCGATTTGGGCGCTCGGCGGAACGCGGTTAGCGCAGGCAGACGGCCGCTGGCGAGCGCTGTAACCGGCACTTGCCACGCGGCGGCGGGCCCGGCCCGGCACTCGGACGCGGCTATCGGACGCAGGCCGCCGCGACCGTTATAAAAAAGACGTGTTATTACTTTCGGGCTACGGAGGAGACAGAACGTGGTGTAATGCTGAGCGAAATGACGGCGAATTTTCGGCATTCTGATTACAGGACCATGCTAACGAAAAAATGGAGAAATCCTGTTGTTAAATTTCGAGAGAGAAAATCCTCCCACATGTGGTGGTCCGTCTGCTTCTTTGCATCTTTGTTTTAACTTTCTCGCATACTACTACATTATATTGAGATATGTATATAATGCTGTAACACGTAGATCGGCAACCACAGCTGTCTAACTCTGACGATTGATTAATTTTTCCCTTACCTGCAAAGGTACGAGTAATTAGTCCCCTACGTGTATTGTACGTTTTATTGCCGGATGTGGTGGTGCCACCTTCGCCTGGC